AATTTGTTTGTTTATTGTTTTTAATTTTTAAAATTCATACTTTTGACATGTATGTGAATGGCGGAGTTGCCGCTTTCCTCCTTTTCGGTGGGTTTTTATATTAAAAAGGCATCAAAATGGGAAAAACCCCCCTTGGTATCTCTGCATCTGTTAAACTTTTTATGGGAAGATGTATGAAAATTCAACTTGCTATAATTTCATATGCTTAACAGTATCACAACAGTATGTTTACAGTATCTCCCCATAACTTTTCATATGAAAAAATTTATTATATGCATCCCACTCGATATCATTGAATTTCTCATTAGAACATGTAGTCTTTCTATTTTAACGTATCAACAGTTCATATGGCTTCATACCATGTAAATGCGCCATTAATATCGTCCCTGGGGAACAAAGCCAGGGGGAGCTGAGCTGAGCCTTTGCCGAAGCCCTCCACCACACCATAAGTCACTATTGGTTTCACTATCATGGAGTACATCCATCTGAGGATCCTCGGAGTGCACCCCCAGGATTTACCCGCTAGACGTTTGCACACCATAATCGCTCTCGTGGCCTTAGAGGTGACCGCATCAACATGGGCCCTCCACAGAATCTTGGAGTCCAGGGTAAGCCCCAGATACTTAACCTCTGCGGCGACACTGATTACGACCCCGTCCAAGGTCAAGTTCCTCATCCCCTGGAGAATTCGTTTCTTAGTGAAGGGGACTATAGCTGTCTTAGAAGGGTTTTTTATTTAAACCTACGTCTGCGCACCACCTTTTTGCAAGGTTAAGTCCTCTTTGGATGTCACAGAGAGTGCTTGCGAACTTCCCTCTAGCGATAATTACTATGGAGCTGGAGAATCGCTGCCAAAAAGCCAATGGGACTCTACATGAATTCGCCTCCGAGATTCAAAGGTTGGCTCATTTGACAATTGGAGATGCATCGGGTGAGCACCTCGAAAGAGTAAAAATCCAGAGGTTCATCAACGGAATGCGGGACGTGTATACCAAGCGAGAGATGTATGCGAATCCAAAGACAACATTTGCTGAAACCGTCTCGTATGACCAATGAAATGCTGAAGAAGCTAATCCAACTGCTGGGCGAGAAAAAGCATGGATCTGGCAAATGTTTTAAATGTGGAAAGCCAGGCCGCCTCCGATTGCAGTGCAAGTTCCAATGGGCTCAACAATTGAACAGGACGCAAACGCAGGGCTGAAGGAGACGAATCTAACTCCAGTCAGTTGTTAAACTAAAACGAGCCAGCAGGAAGGACCGCGTGCTGGCTCCAGAAGTTGAAGGGCCCATAATCTCCATCTCACAAATTGGCCGGAATGCGAGCAACCTCACTATTGGTGGATGTGTGAATGGGCAGGAGCGAGTGCTGACAGTGGATACTGGAGCGTCACATTCCATTATTCGACCTGATGTGACTACTTTTTATGTGAAGCCACTACCTGGAGCAAAGCTGCAGACTGCAACTGGTGAGCGAAACCAAGTGTTAGGAGAAGCACTATGCGAGGTAATAATCGACGGGTTGGCCTCGTACACGAAGTTTATTGTGGCAGACATTGTGGTTGAAGTCATCATCGGCGTTGATTTCCCACTTGGGCGAGGCATGAAGATTGACCTCCAGGGAATGATCCTAACCTATGGCGACAGGAGAGTGCCACTTAGGGTTGGTTACCTCAACCAGTGCTTCAGCAGACGATTGGTCTTAGAGGAAGTGTCGAAGATTCCACCAGAAACGGAAGTGGTTAGTTGGGCAGAGGTTGACAGTGATGGAAACGAAATGGTTTCGTCAGGAGAAGGAAGTGGTTCACCGATACAGGAAAAGCGTGACGGTTCCGCCAGCTCAGTGAAGAAGAGGTCGCAACAAGGAAGTGGTCATGGCAAGCCAGGCAGTGTTTCCGGCAGGAGGAAAGCCGCTAAACCCCGTTGCAATTGTGATACGCCGGTGGCCGGAAATGGAAGCGGCTGCGGAAGCAGTAGGCGCGCTTTGAAGTGTCCCGAAAAAGGTGGTCGGCAAAGGCGAGCAGTTAAGCCGGAAGCCCAGCATGAGGTTATACATGTCCGGTCAATGAGGTTGACGCCGGCGAAAGAGCGAGAGGCAAGTTTCAGCGTGAGGAACCAGTAGCTCGTTTCTGTAACAATTCTCTACCAAGGCGAATTGAGATATGAATTCGCAGCCCTGTTCTCTACTGCTAATTAGTAGGGGAGAGTGACGTATTTTCTCTACCAGTAGAGAAATAATCGGTAGAGAAAAGTTACCGAAACGGGCTACAGATTTAGCAAAATATGGTAAAGGCAGTGCAGCACGAAGGCAGCAGCCTGGGTGTCAAGGACCGAGGATGCGGCATACATCTGGCAAAAAGGGTGCCCACGAGAGGAGACATGGTCTGGTCACCACCAGTGGCCGGCAGAAGCACGACCATGTGAGATGGTGCACCACCGGAGATAAGCTGGAAGCTATGTCCAGTAACGCATCGAGCCGAGAGGAGCTACAGGAAGGCGATTGGGTGTTGTTGCCCATGCCGCAGCCGAAGAAAGGCTTCACCTCCGAACAACATCGTAACTGGAAATGTCCGTATAGATTGACCAACGGCTGAAGGACGCAGTGCATCGAATCCAGACAGGTNCGACCATGTGAGATGGTGCACCACCGGAGATAAGCTGGAAGCTATGTCCAGTAACGCATCGAGCCGAGAGGAGCTACAGGAAGGCGATTGGGTGTTGTTGCCCATGCCGCAGCCGAAGAAAGGCTTCACCTCCAAACAACATCGTAACTGGAAATGTCCGTATAGATTGACCAACGGCTGAAGGACGCAGTGCATCGAATCCAGACAGGTGAAGACCGAGAACCAAGATGAAAGACTAGCAACGTTTGGAGCAGCAAGTGTGTCTGATCGGGACCATCAGACTTAGGTGGAGGGCAGTGTGGCGAATACTGCGGCAACGCGAAGCGAACAACGAGAAATAGGCAAAATGTTTGAGGAATGACGTAGAATGTTCCACAAACAGAAACGGCAAGTTGAATGAACACTGAGAACAGCTAGAGAAAGAGAATGAGCGATGAACTTCAGAACGTTCTAAAGTTGCCATGAGTGCGAGCGCAGGTATATAAATGCGCCACCAGACACCGGAGTGAGTGAGTTACTAGTCAGCAAGCTACAAATAAAGTGAGCAGAGAAGTGAGTTGCGAATAAGCAAACTATAAGTTTAATTGTGTTAACAAGTTTAGTTAAGCATTGTTATTGCTTTAACAAGTATTGTAACGTGTTTTTACTGTATTAGCGAATAATGTAAATTGTTTGTTGTACAATAAAGTTAATTGTACTACAATTTTGTCTTCATTAGCATTTATTTAACAATCCTGCGATACGAATCGGAGCATTTGGGAAATCCGGACGAGGTTTCCAGGATAATCGGAACAGAATGTACTGTACTTCGAATCGTTTTGGCAGCACTGGTAAGTAACTGACATTTCAGTTTGGCAATAAACTGACATTTCACTTCAAGGAAGCACTAAGAAGTGATTTTTCCATAATGGCCGATGAATACGTCTAGTAAAATAAACAATTGGGAGAAAATTTTCGTTTTTGATAGAGAAAAAAGTGATGCAAATATTTGTATGTGCGTTAGCTTCTAACTTGTAATAACACACCTTATTGCACTTTACTTGAAAGTATGTAGGGTAAAAAATGAGCTTGCCATAGTTCATACCCGAAAAGTGGTCAAACAAGAAGCTTGTGATACAAAATAGGTGATGCACATACAAAGCCAGTTGTGAACGAATAAGAAATTTAGCATCGGTCATTTAAAATTTAATTCCCCAAATGATACAATATAAGAACAGTGCTCTTGGCGGTACCACCGTGAATGCCAACGCTAATACTAACACAGGTCAGTCTGCTACAGCCGCCCCCACACAAACGTTACAACAACAAGCGTCTACTGCCCCCAGCGCACAGGTAAAGGCAACTTTTGTAAATGCTACACCCACAGCGCAGGGAATTGCAACGAGTAATAGCAATAATGTTCCATTGCAACAAATTATCAACTTACAACACCTGCCTCAGCAATTTGTTCAGGCTACGGCATCAGCACCACAGCAGGCACAAGCCATACCCACTCAAAATATGTTTCAAATTGTGCAGCCAATGCAGACGGTGACCATTGATGGACAGGAGGCCATCTTTATACCCAACTTAAATGCTGCTCAATTGGCGGCTCCCGCACAAACGATACATTTCAATGGACAGCAAGCATTTATTACACCCAATGGACAAATTGTGCGTGCACCGACTGCAGGTCCAACACCAACTGCAATGCATTTGCAGCCTGCAACACAATTTATCCACGGTTTGGGACAAGCAATGCAGTTACCGCCAGGTGTTGGAGCGTCTGAACAAACACTATTTACTATACCTGGTACGAATATTCAAGTACCTGTTGTAAATGCTACAGTACAGCAACCGCAACAACAGCAAATTTTACAACAACAACAAGGTCAACCGCAATCGTCAAACAATTCGGGGGGTACAAATCCTTCTAACAGTGGTAACTCATGTTCTTCAACTCAACCACCGACCAGTACAACACAAGTACCCCCAAACACAGCTCAAGCTACAACTTTGCCGAGTACCATTACAATACCAGGTACAAACATTCAAATACCAACGTCCGTAGCAGCATCAAATGGTTTGCTAGGAAATCTTAGTAACCTATTGGGTAATGGCACAATAAAATTGGAAAACGGCCAGACTCTCCAAAATGTGCAAATAAGACCTGCAGGAACAGCTCCCAATGCGAATTCTACAGCGACTGCAATGCCACAATTCATACAGTTTCCCCATACGCTGCAGCAACAAGCTGCCCCAGCTCTGCAACAGACTGTTGCCGTTCAAGTTCCAATTCAAACTGGTGGAGGCCAGACAATATATCAGACAGTACATGTGCCCGTGCATCAACTTAACGCAGCCGGTCTGCCTAATCTGATGCCGGCACAAGCTCTGCCAATGTCGGCTGGGTTGCCTCCCACCCAAATGCAAATTATACCACAATTCGCACAAATTGCGCAAATAGTTACGCCTAATGGCCAAATACAACAGGTTCAGCTGGCGCCATTGAATGCGATGTCATATCCACAGCTGCCGCCGAATGCAAATATCATACACATTCAACATCCTCAGCAACCTCCTACGTCGAACAATCAGCAGCAGCAAGCAGCCGCTGCTGCTGCAGCTGCTCAAGCTGCAGTCACTGCACAGCATCAGCAGCAACAACAGGTAAACTTTCCGCAAAGGAACAAATTTAACAAATTATGAAAACTAGGTATTTTTTGGTTTATAACTCATAGGTCGCTCAACAACAGCAGCAGCATCAACATCAGCAACAACAACAACAACAGATATTGAACGCACTGAATGCGGCATCCGAATCTGGTATTCAGCTGCCAACGAATCAGTCCATAACAATTACCAATGCACAAGGTCAGCAGCTAACGGTGATTCCCGCACAGCAACTACAACAACTTCGAACTGCATCGGCTCCATCTGCGCCAGGCAATACCCCCAACCTTATACAGCTTCAACAATTTCCTGGTCTTCAGGCTTTGCCGATCCAAAATATCCCAGGAATAGGACAGGTCCAAATAATTCAGGCGAATCATCTGCCACCTCAACTTCAAGGGAGCTTTCAACATGTAATTTTGCCACAACAGCTTCAGCAGCAGCATCAACTACAGCAGCAGCAGCAGCAGCAACAGGTGCAATTGCAATCTAATCCCGGCGCGGCGCTTAATCCTGCACAAACATCTCTTCCTCAAACAGGCACAACTACGTCTACGACAACCGCAAACCTGGTGCAGCCGAAACAAGAACCCCAAAGTCCATCCCAAACACAACACACGCTTATCACAAACATAAAGCAGGAGCCCCCAGATCCCAGCCAAACTCCACAACAAATTAAATGGATTGTGCCGCAGAATATGACTGTTAATCTACAGCAACTGCAATCACAGCAGCAAGCCGATCAATCACAGCAACAATCTTCCAACGAGAATGCTGCAATACCTTCTTCATTGCCCACATCAATACAAATCACCGCCGTCCCCCAGACCCATAGCTTCACTATCACACCTGCCAATCAAGCGCGTACTACCATGCTGAAGTCTCAGCCGGCAACTATGACAACACAAAATAATCCAGCCATCCCGCCAAATACAACCGTAACTTCCAGTGGCGGTGGTACACAGATCACAATAGCAACGGCACCAGCGACGCTAACTCAACAAATCCAGCAGCAGCAATCACAAATTCAGGCAATGCAATCCCAACTAAATTCAGCAAATACATCAACAACAGCGGTACCAACGACAGCAACCACATCTGTAAATGTGAATATTAACGTCAATGATGTTAGCGCCGGTAATGGCAGCGGTGCTGCCAACAGCAATATTGATAGTATCAACCCCAATACAAATGTTAATTGGGCAGGCGTCCTGGAAATAAAACCACGTCTAAAACGCGTGGCTTGCACCTGCCCAAATTGCACAGAAGGGGAGAAGCATGCTGATCGAAAGCGGCAACATATCTGTCACATACCGGGCTGCAATAAAGTGTACGGCAAAACTTCGCATCTGCGCGCTCATTTACGTTGGCATACAGGCGAGCGGCCGTTTGTCTGCTCTTGGTTATTCTGTGGAAAACGATTCACACGCTCCGATGAGTTACAGCGCCACAGACGTACTCATACTGGAGAGAAGCGTTTTCAATGTAGAGAATGTAATAAAAAATTCATGCGCAGCGATCACCTCTCCAAGCATATAAAGACGCACTTCAAGATGCGTTCATCCCTTGAAGTAATGGAACTGGATATAAAATCGGAGGATAAAGGAAATGTTCAGCGGACAGTGGATAATGCAAATAGCATCCAGGATGGCAGTGCCACGTCACACATGTCAAAAACTATAACGACAGCAAATGGAATTTTGACAATTGAACTACCAAACTCTGCCGTTTCAGGCGTAGCTGCCACTCTAGCGAGCTCATCTATTAACAGCAATGTTGGTATAAATGGGCAGAACGCTATAATGCAAATGTCAGGTGCAAGCGATTTGTTAACGCAATCGGCCGATGATGACGATGAGGACTGTACCAGCGATAGCTATGGAGATGAAGAGCTTGATGATGACGACCTTGACGAAGATAATGATAGTAGCGGTGATGAGGAGAAGATGACAATTACTGTTAGTGAAGTGGGTGAAAATTCTAACTAACATACGGAAGCACTGTTCATGGAACAGTTCGGATTTAATCAATTCTAATTACGGTTTCCATATTGATGTAAATAGCGTAAAGATATTGCGGCGCAGTGCCGAAGAGAAATTTTTATTTGTGTATTGTAGTTTATTTATAGTTTATAATTATGATATCGCACATTTTAATAATATAGATGATTAATTCAAAATTTATGTTTTTGTAGATTACATCATACAATTAAGAAGCTTATTAAGGAGAATATGTTCAGTATAACAGATAACCTAAACTCGCCAAAAATTGCGAAGTTATGGGTCATTTTATCTGTNTATAGATGATTAATTCAAAATTTATGTTTTTGTAGATTACATCATACAATCTAGAAGCTTATTAAGGAGAATATGTTCAGTATAACAGATAACCTAAACTCGCCAAAAATTGCGAAGTTATGGGTCATTTTATCTGTTTTTTTTGTAAACCAATTATATGAATTGGTCAAACTTTGCCTACGTTTTCCCACAATATTAAAATTTTGAAATAATTCTCTTTATTATTAAGCGTGTGATTTGATCGTTAAAATATTTAAAACGTAAGTTAGATGTTTGCATGTAGGTGTAAAATATATCGACTTAAATAGGTTTAAATTTTATTTGGGTTTTATTTATTTATCGCTAATAAATTTATACACATTTCTTTTTGTATGTATTAAAAATAGCCGTAAAGATTTTATATAACACATATTTATGTGAATTATGTAAAGAATTTTAAATTCAAAAATATCGAGTTTATTGTAAAATACGCCAAGCAGAATTTTAAGAAATAAAATTAACTACTAACAAAATAAACTTAATCTAAAGATTAATATCATACTTTTTTCAAACAAAGGAAACAATCTGGGACTTGTGCTAAGTATACATACATACATGCATACATACTATATGTACATATTATGAGTGTATTTCGAGAATACAAAGTCTTATTTTCGAAAGTCTGCCAAAAGCTAAAGATATATAGTAAAAATTTATCCATATCGTCGCGTGGTGCGTAATACCTCCTATCTCCTAAATAGGCAAAGTAGCTATTGGAAGCTTTCACTAAATTATACTAAAATTTAATGGGCTATAAAACTGCGTACTCAAAATTTTTAAAATTTAAAACCTGATTAACCTTAGGATGCCGGACAGCGTCCCGAGGGACCCATCACGTTTTCAATGATGCAGTATTTTAATCCAGTTAGACCTATCTGCCGTAGCCTTTGTGACTTCCATAAATGGAATGTCTAGAATCTATTTAAATAGCCTCCAACACGATTTCGAGTCGATGACCGACAGGGTCCGCAGGGACCCTCTTAGAGATGTGCGTGTAATTTATTCTTGTTTCTTGGATGCAGTTATTTTCATGTAATTTGTTCGTGTTTTAAGACTAGAAAGGTTTGTACATTCGAATGGTTTTTATAAATTTGTTAACCGCTTTTGTAAATCTAGTGACTAAATTGATCAAGCTAATTCACATTTCTGTGATATATAATCAATAAATAGTCTGTGATATTGATAATTTGGAAATTGGAAGTTGGGCTTCTTATTTATCTATATGTAGTAGGAATTGATATTTGGGGTATCTGATGGACACCGAAGTTCCAGCTCTGAAAGTTTTCCACTCGGAAGGCGCTGGTGGTAGCAGAGGAAGAAGGAGGCTCTCACTGCCATGGAAAGACCAAGGGGCAATCGCTTGGCTTCACTTGACATTTCCAATGGCTTCAGTTGGCACAGAATTGAAACGACTGGCATGCTTTGTTGAGCTCGCCCAAAATCGCTTAGGCGGATACAGGGCCAAATAAAAAGAAAAGCAACGCCATGACAATGAAGTGCTTTGTCGCATCTCGGCATATTGATACAATCTGGTTGTTATCGGTCCGATTCTGAGCTTGTAAAGAAATTAAGTGATACGCATTTGACTCTGTATAACGCTTTCGGGTTGATGATTCCAACCCGCAAAAAAGCCAGTAGCTATTCTTGAATCAGTCCGATAGACGACGTTTATTTCTTGAACCATTCAGCGCCCACATATGTACATGTATATATCCACACCCATTCTGAAACTTTACACTGACGATAGGAACATAAAGTAAAAAAAAGTAATTTTTAAGCAAAAAACACAATCGACTTCAATTCTCATATTCAAATTTAGGAGTACCGTTAATTTCTTCATGGTCCATTTAACGGATCTAAACCTTTCCGATAAAAGCTTAGTATCCAGCTCTTAAGAAAAGCAAAAACTCCATATAAAATGACGTACAAGAAATGGCTAAGAAATTTTCTTGAGTCAAATTTCCTTAAGGCAGTACGCAGTCAAGGCACATAAATACAGGTAGAAGCCAAAATGACGTGGCTCTCATGAGAACCAAACCTTTAAACTTCAACTTGATTTTATTTTATTTCCTATATTTCGTTACGCTTTGAATGTCATATCGTTGTTTTTTTTTTTTGAATGTTCGTTAATAACAAATTTTAATTTGCATTTGAATTTTTGTAGTGTTGTGCCATGATTCATTATTATTATTATTCATTATTATTGAATCATGGTGTTGTGCGGTTTATACTTAGGGCCGGTTTCTCCATCTCTGGTTAACACTAAATCCCCGGTTAAACATTGTTATCGACGTTCTAACTCCATGCATATAACAGGGAGTCGATAAGGTCGGTAACGATGTTTACCGGGGGATTAGTGTTAACCGGAGATAGAGAAACCGGCCCTTAGTGTATGTGTTAAAAATGCAACACCTGAAGCGTTGTGTTTTATGTGGTGTTAAATATAAGGCAGATACCACTAATTTTTTAACGTGCCTCAATGTCCTTCGCGTAAGGAACGTTGCGAAAGCAGCTGTGGGCAGAGCTGCAGTGAAATGCCTTGCTGTGCGTTAAACATTTTAAAGAAGTAGATTCCACAAATACACCGGGAGGTACAGGAAAGGCACGTTTGAAGCCAAGTGCTGTTCCTATGACCCTTATGCCGAAAAGTCCCTCCAACAACACTGCAACTCATAAAACAAAAACAGAAAACAACATACACGTTTTTTCAAATTTTAACTAAAGAAAATAAATAAATAAGAATAAACTTCAAATATACTTAAAAACGTCAACCAGTGAAATGTATTTTTTTATTTTTCCTTACACACGCTCATTTTTATTTTTACTCTCCCGAAAACTTTGACTTTTGTAGGTTTGATGTCAATTTGGCTTCTACCTGTTTTTATTGTACCATGGTACGCAGTTCTTCAGAAATTTAGTACGCTTTCTACTACGGTTTTCTAAAGTTTTTTGTGAAAAAAGAGCACAAGGCAACCCAGGTTTGCGACAGAAATATATGCCCGTTCCATTATTTAAAGCTTAGTAAAGCTCTTACTAAGCTAAAGCTTAGTATCCAGCTCTTAAGAAAAGCAAAAACTCCATATAAAATGACGTACAAGAAATGGCTAAGAAATTTTCTTGAGTCAAATTTCCTTAAGGCAGTACGCAGTTCTTCAGAAATTTAGTACGCTTTCTACTACGGTTTTCTAAAGTTTTTTGTGAAAAAAGAGCACAAGGCAACCCAGGTTTGCGACAGAAATATATGCCCGTTCCATTATTTCTTGAGGAA